TCTAACTAGGATTCTCCCCATGTAATCTTAGTAGTAGTATTATTTTGTAATCCTACTAGGAACTCTCATCGTAAACCGACTAGAAATCTGACCTCCTGACTATATAAAAGGAGGGCAGGGTTCCTAGAGAAGGGAGATCATGATTTCTACAACACAATCAATCCAACGCAAAGGCTAACGCCGACTGTACGTAGGGCTGTTACTCGATCACAGTCGAGGGCCTGAACCAGGATAAATCGACTGTCTCTTGCGTTCACCGTCGAGTTCTGCATACGCTGAAGCCCGAACAATACTGCCCCGGGGACCCCCGTGGCAGGCTATCGGTGGTGAAACATCAACACAGCCCGCGCAGCTCCCGTCCCGCCGCTGCATCATCGTGCTACAACGCCGATGCCGCACCATCGATTTGCGTGCTGGCAGACCAGATCCAGCCGAGGAGGCGTCGGATCCGGGCGCAGCGGGCCGGAATCCCGCCGCCGGTCGCCGGCCGCCGGCCCCATGCACACCAACCTCACCTCCAGGAGAGAGAGAGAGAGAAGGGGGAGGGAGGAGGGGGGAGAAGACACAGCCGCCGCTGTCCTTGCCCTCTGCCGGCTGCAGGCGTCGAGCTCTGGCGACGGCCGGGGATGGAAGAGTGGGGGAGGAAAGCTCGGAGGTGAGCTTGAGCCGCACCGCCGGAGTCGCCCCTGGAGGGGAGCGACGCGGGGGCTGGTTGGGTCTTTTCGCGTTCTCATTCCTCATCCCGCTCCTAATTTCAATGGTGGCCTCACGCGCGCATCGTTTCCGGAAAGCGATGCACGCGTCAAACAACAAAGATTGTCCTTGTGTGAGCACCTGGTGGTGGATCACTGCCTCGCGTGTGCTTGTCCAAGACGACACTCTTTTTTTAAATAACACAGTACAACGTAGATACTCACAACGCACACACGCAAACCCTGCTCCTATGAGCATCTTTGAAGACTAGGCTGGAAAATTCTTGAGATTGACGAAGTCACCATAGGTGTCTCGCTGTCAACGGAAAGATCGCCTATCACTAAAAACACAACGCTAATAAATTCTGTAATATTCGCTCCCATGGGGAGAGTTGAACCCAATATCTAAGGTGCTAGTAAGGCTCTTACAATAACCACTAGGAATTATACAATACATTTTTTATTAGCTAGCTTGCATTATGCAAGCATGCAATTGCTTTTCTTTTTGGAAACACATCATGCAGGTAATTATATATATGGTCCTGTTCGCTTATCTTATAATTCATCTTTTTTAGCTTATTGTTTTAGTCGGAATAGTATTTTTCTCTCACAACAAATCAGCCGGAACAGTATTTTAACTTATTTTTTCAACGAAGCGAACGAGCCACGGTGTCGTCACCTATCAGTACGGTCATTCCAGTTGGAATCGCAGCGCTTTAATTAGTTTTTCTTGACCGATGGGGTGATGGATTAGGTAATGTATGCACGCATATTCTTGTGGAGTATGAGTGGAAGAAAACCTTTTGTGCCAAGTCTTCTGCGATTCTAGACGCAAACTGATCATTACGTTGTGCTAGTACTACTAACAAATGGTCAACGCAAGCACTACAAGAAATGTGATATATATTTTCCGGCACTTTTTACTAGCTGCGCAATAATTATTTTGAGTTTTAAACACCCCCACCCCCTAAAAACAGTGTCCAATCCATAGTTCGTCTACAGTACTCCTATGTTTCAAATTATAAGTCGTTTTGACCTTTTTTACGTAGATTCTTTTATGTATCTAGACATATATTATATCGATATAACAAAATTGATGTACCTAAAAAATCAAAGTAACTTAGAATTTAGAACAAAGAAAGTATAATTTTGCATCTTGAGCAGCAGGTTCATCAAATCCCCAACAAGATAATTACCCACTGTTATTGTAGGTAGTTATCCAAATCCAAATATATTAGAGAACATTGACCACTTTCAAAACAAGAATGTTGAGAAAGATATCAATCTTGTAGTGAAGCTTGAAAAAATAGTAAAATTTGGGGAACACTGATAAACATCCCATGCTCTATGCTTTTTGTGGGTTATGAGTTACTTTATGCTCGAACTCGTAAGAAATTAACATTATTAGCTTTTTTTGTGAAAATCAACATTATTAATTTGTTGGTTTAATTTTTACATAGCGCACAAGAAGGTTTATTTTCAAGGTGATCAAACCAACAATTTTCTTTTAAAAAAAATGTCGGCTCCCTCAGAATCGGCAAGCATATATAGTCATTTTCATAAGGGTCAAACAGGCACACCTATCGGGGTTTCACGTAACTCGAAATCTGACGCGTGAACATTTCCATATGGGCTAGGCTTTAGAAATCGTCGTGAGGGTCGGCTGACAACCAAATTCTATTTCCTTATAACCGAGCCATTCCTCGGGGCTGACTTTAAGCCGTCAAGAAAATTATTTGTGAAAGTTTTTTGGGAGATACTAGCATCTGAACGTCCGGATAGAAGCATGCGTCCAGACGCCCGCGCCTCATTGTCACGTACACCCGTGGAAAAAAATACCGCGCCCGCGCCTCCTCCATCATGCGCGCCCACGGGAAACGTCGCGCCTGCAGCTCCTCCCCCCTGACCCCCTCCTCTCTCGGCACAGGCATGACCCAGTTGCCAGGATGAGGACGAGCGTGCCCTGTCCGTAGGCTCCCAACGCGCTCCATCCCCGACGCTCGGGCCGCCGTGCCTCCATGTTTCTCTCTGAAACATGAAACACTTGAATGCAACATACGTTTAAAGCAGATGAAACATTTGTAACATACACTTGAAATATATGTGTGAAACATATGCAACATCCAGATAAAAAACACTTACAACTTGCAACATGAAAACACTTACTACAACATAAGACTGAAATGACTGAAACATTTCGAACATATGTGTGAAACATATGCAACATCCAGACCAAAACGCTTGCAGCATACGTCTGAAATTAGATGAAATATTTTGAACAAACTATTGCAACATGTCTTTGAAACACTTGCAACAAATGCAATATCCTGATCTACTTTTTGCAACATCCATATGAACCACTTGCAACATACATCTGAAACACTTAAAACGAGCATTGGCAACATAGGTGGGAGAGAGGCCGGGGCAGCGGCACCGGCCTGCGGCGGCGAGGCATCCCAACGGCACTAGGATGGGGAATAGGCTGGGGAGGCACTGCGCGAATTGAGTGAGGAGGCGGCGTGATCGGCTTGGGTGGAGGATGGAGGCAGCGGTGGCGGTGTGGGGCTCTACTGCTGCTAGTGGACGCGAGAAAGAGACCGAGAGATGGGGAGGACGAGACGGAGTGGGGAGATTTTTTTCTTGAGAGTGGTGGACGAGGCGGAGTGGGAAGCCGGTATGAACGGACGTGGGCGGACAAACACCCGTGCCGAAATTTTTCAGAAGTTTTTTCCCTATTCCCTCTTGGGTTTCTATAGCCAACAAACACTGAACAGGGAGATTTCCATTTCCAGCTAGTGCGTGGGGGCTGCCGGAGACAAGCAAGAAGAGCATGTCGAGCACGAGTGAACTAGCTTGTCTGTAATAACATAACAATGAGGGCTTACTATACTTCGTGTGCGCCGGCTGAGAAAATTCCACCCACACGCCTCTTCTTTCTCGCCTCGCAAACCTTATCTTCTTCCTCCCACGCTCCCCCACCTCCTCGTCACCCCACCCAGTTCCAGTGATGCCACCCTTAACCCCCTCCAGATTCGCGCGAGTGCCCTCGCCTCAACACCACCCCGCCTCTCGCGATGACCTCCTTCTTGCCTTCCTCCTCCTGCATGTCGTCGTGAGCTCCGATGACCTCCTTCTTCAGCGGCGAGCTCCGGCCATGGGCGCCCCGCCCTGACTAGGCCTAGCCGCACCACTGCCAGGACCCTAAAGCCGCCCCTCCCGCCGTCTGCACTGCATGACCGGCTTGCCTCCCACCAACTCCTTCTCTTCTAAGCCTGCCGAAGTTGGGGAAGATGAAAGGGAGAGTCGCTGCTGCCGTTGGAACCCTAGCCGGAGTTGTGGAAGATGGCACACCGCATCCCAAACTTGGGCAAGAAGGGGCGGTGGTGCGATCGAGCACGGGCATCGCGCGCTTGCACGTCGGACAGCCCACGCGTGTGCGCACCAAGGGACGCAAGCGCGCGCTCGGAAGTAAGCATTTCCCTAACAATAATATCACGAGTTCACGATCGAGCACCGACTGCACGAATGAACGTGCATGAGATCGACGCGTACGTTGCATGTCGGTATATATGCAATTTGATACGCACGGCACTGGCACTGCCAAGTGCCGACCGATCGAGAGATGTAGTGCACACACGCACGATGGATCCGTGGACACGTGCGCGCCCATATATGCCCATGCATGCATGGGTCATCGCTGTCGTCGCGCCTCGCACACGTGCACGGCATCGGCCGCCGCGCCGGTGGTGTCTCTCCCCTCAGATAATCCGCCGTCGCCTGCTGCATCCAACGGCGGGATCGAAATATCCGGTGCCGAGATACCAAATCCAAAATAGGTCTCCAGCAGGCCTATAGTCTCCAAAAGAGAAGACTCATTTTGATGTAAGAGAGGCATAACCCAAATCTGAGTATCCTCTCTGCTAGAGATCTATTTGTAGAAATGGTTGTCTTTTGGGTCGTATTGTTGGAGAAGACAAAAATAGATATTGAATATTTTACCTATAGCACTACCTAAATGACGAATGAATCTTGTATTTTGGATCACGGTCGCTGGAGACAGTCTTATGCCGCTACTAGGCAGCTGGCTAGGTAGCTTCGTCTTCCTTCAGCAACCGCCCTTCCTCCCCCAACCTTCCTTCTATATAACATCCCCGACCCCCCACCTCTTAAAATTTCAGGTCTCTCGCCATTCCACCTTCTTCCCTCGCTCGCTCACCCTTCTTAACAAGACATAGCTAGGCCCGATCCGTACGGCTCGATCTAGTAGCTAGCAAGTGTTCGTACGTGGTCGATCGTGGATAGATCGTGATGACAATTGACCTTGGCCTAACTGCGTCGGCGGCGTCATCGTCCTCCGGGGGACGACGCGGCGGCGGCGTGGCGAGCCCGTGCACGGCGCTGCCGCCGGGGTTCCGTTTCCACCCAACAGACGAGGAGCTCATCCTCCACTACCTCCGCAAGCGCGCCGCCGCGGCGGCGTGCCCGGCCCCCGTCATCGCCGAGGTCGACATCTACAAGTTCGACCCATGGGACCTGCCAGGTTATTATGCCATCGAATCGATCTTCATGTCTTTCATGGAGAACTGCATGTGCGCATGTCATCATGCTCATTCATTATTCATATACCTGCCATTTCTTTCATGCAGCCAAGGCGGTTTTCGGGGAGGCGGAGTGGTACTTCTTCAGCCCGAGAGACCGCAAGTACCCCAACGGCGTCCGCCCCAACCGCGCCGCCGGGTCCGGCTACTGGAAGGCCACCGGCACCGACAAGCCCATCACGCTCTCCGCCGCCGCCGGCTCTTCGACCGAGAGCAGCGGCCGCGCCATGATTGGCGTGAAGAAGGCGCTCGTCTTCTACAAGGGGCGGCCGCCCAAGGGCATGAAGACGAGCTGGATCATGCACGAGTACCGCCTCGCCGAGGCGCTCAACGCCGCCAACACCTACAGGCCCATGAGGTTCAAGAACGCTTCCATGAGGGTACGTATATCATGCATCTATCTATCTATCTACACCAGCGAGCTACCTCGCACTGCACCTTCCTCCACACAGTCACTGCCTAGCTCGCAGTGGTGGACTCATAGAGATCCGGCCTTCATGCATCAACCATTTTATCCAAAACTAACTAGTTAGAAATTGTGAAAATAAAGAACAGGAAAAAAAATTACGTGCGTCTCTCTTCTTGCTAGATTTAATTTCTGGCGTAATTACTTTATTAATTTTGAGTTTTGAGAGGAGGATAGCCGTGCAATATTGATTCTGTTTTTATAATACGGTCGTTGATGATAGGAGCCTGCTGCAGTACTGGAGCGAGCTAGGAATCTATTTTTTTTCCTTGTTACTTTTGAAAGTTTTCTTGCTGTTGCTTGTGTGTGGATGCCAGTTTAAGCAAGTAGTTCCCGAGGTCAATCAACCACTGCACTTCTTTAACCCCTCAGATGCTTTCTCTTCTCTCCCTCTCTCCCTCTTCTCCTTGATAGAGAGAGACGTCAATTCGCTCGAGCAATAGGGACCAAATTAAATAATCCATCAGAGACGACGACACACACAAACTATCCGTGTGGCTTTTCTCCACTGCCAATTATTGGCGTGTTGATCGCGCACACCGGTCACTTTTATTCCGAGCTCCAAGGACACGTGTTGGTAACGAGATCGATCGATCGAAAAGCCCGAGCGATGAGCCGATCACTGACATGATCATCACTGTCGTTGGTCGATGCATGCAGCTGGACGACTGGGTGCTGTGCAGGATCTACAAGAAGACCACACCGCAGCTGGCATACATGTCGCCGCCGCACGAGGAGGCGTCGCCGTCCATGGACGGCGGCGGCTTCGACCTCAGCCTGCAGCTGGACGACTCCGTCTCCGCCGACGACATCATGGTGGCCACGTCGTCATATGCAAGCCGGCTGCCGCGCCCGGTGTCCATCTCGGACTACCTCGTCGACTACTCGGCCGTGAACGAGCTGTTCGAGACCCTACCTCCGCCGCCGCCGGAGACGACGACGACGACGCCGCAGCTCGGGACAGACGCAGCGACGAGGTTCTACTTCGGTACCAGCGACCCTGCTGCTAGTGCCTCCTCTGTAGCGCAGCAGCAGAGCCCACTCAAGAGGCGGTCCATGGAGGAAGGTTACTCAAATAGTCGCATGAACGACATGCTACACGCGTCGTCGAGCAAGAGGGTGATGAGTGATCACCGTGCATCATCCTCATCCATGGCTGTCAACAATGCCTTCTCCGTGTTTGAGCCCGGACAGACTCCTCTGCAGGACAAAATATGACGCAGCAGCAGCACTCGCTGCTAATTAGGGCTAGGAAAGAATACTGCTACTGATTATTTGATTAGTATTGATCGATGCGGAGGGAATTCAACATTCATGGATTACATATATGTAGTGTACACACTAAAGTATATATTGTATTCTGTAAAAAAATGGATTGATTTGGGAAAAAGCAAAATTATATATAGTGATGATTTCACTGGCTAGATCTGATTTTAGATTACTGCTAATGTGTGCAACTAGATAGGTATAGGTTGTAGCATGTAAGATAGAACACATTTGTTGAACAAAATTCCATGATATATATAAAACTCTGCTTTCATTACATATGTGAACGAAGTAGTATATATGTGCACATCTCAAATTTGGGATGGATATTTTCACTGAGGATATATAAGTACCATTTCCAATATCATGATGTTTACGATACACACGACAACATATTCCGTATTCCTTGAGTGTGGTTTTTCCTTGGAATGGCCAAATTTTTACTGTCCTTCACAATTTTTTTTCCTCAAGGGGTGAGGGCTTTGCAGTCTAATTTAGACATCTTCTGAAGGTGAAAAGAAATAAATTAGCAACAAAGAATCACCTATCAACAGTTTGCAAACAAAAATGCCATCGGCCACTTAGTACATATATGGAAATGTCTAGATTATATGTTAACAAACACTTGGCTGCTTGATAAAATTCTAAAAAGGACAAGACCATTGGCTCGGTATCCTCTTGAAGATCTTGTAGTGATAGATTGATGACAACCAAATTTCTTTTTATGCTTTATTTAAATCACTGATGAAATCTCGATCACTCAAATGAATGAGTACCCAGGTGGTTACTTCATCATGCATGAGTTGTGCTATTTTTTTTTCCGAATTACACAATACAACACAGACACACACAATGTATGCACACTCACCCAATGAATTGATCATGAGATGGTCTCATGGACAAAGAGACCGCCAGAAAGTGACAAAATTGGAGTGTCAAACTAGCTGAATCGGAGAGCAATGTCTTGTCATATACTTGTTTTGTTGTCCGAAAGCTTGGGTTCCTCCACAGTTCATTGCACCAAACAAGGGAAAAGTAGATAGATGCATGGAGAGAGACATATAGCTATCGCAGCAATGACAAGTTGGCAGAAGAAATCCGGCCTTATCCTTAAATGGCGATGGATCGGACACCCTTGACTTTTGTTGGGTGTCTCTGCAATGGTGAAGATGGGAGTAGTTTAACTGTATTATATGCATTCTTCCACATATATTTAGAAATGAAAAGTTAATCACAAAGATAGCTTGCTCTTCAGGACTACAGGTAGAAAATGCAAGAGGAATTGCAATGAAAAATGAAATGGTTAGTGGGCAAAACATCCACAGTGGACAGGTATACTGATGATGAACTCTTACACGTTCTTGTCGAAAGTTTAAGATAGGCATTCAGGAGATAGCCTTAACTTTGATAGAGAAGTCTGAACCACTAGCTAGTAGCACATATGTCATGGGTGGCAATACGATGAGATAAGCAGCGGTGTAGCATCGTCTCTATGTATCGTTTATATATGCATATACAACGACAAAAATAGATTTCTATAGTCATCTTTTATATGGGTGAAATAACTAGTTGGTACAAGCATAGAGGTCAAGATTGTGCCAATTGAGCTTTCAGCGAGATAACATATACTTCCTCTGTTCCAAAATAAATGCACATCTCGCTTATCGAGAAGTTATTTTAAAAAAAAATCAAATATATATAGAAAAGTACTAAACTTTACAAATATGTGTAATAAGTATCATTTGTTTGGTTGTGGAATATATACTTTTATAATAAATTTATATAGAGATATAAATACTTACATTATTTTCTATATATACACACAAACTTAAAAAGAGTTTGATTCCTCGATAAATGAAACATGCATTTATCTGGGACCAAGGGAGAGTGTATATATATATATATATATATATATATATATATATATATATATATATACAATATATATTACAATACAATACATATACATATTACATGCCATGATCTTTGATCTGATGTTTGCAACATCAATCATTCGGGCGTGGAAGACCATACCAAAGAATATCCAGAAGGATACTATCCATGCGCGATGGAGGACAGCGCAAAAGGAATATATCTCATTCAAATTCATGGCTAGGACAATTATTCTCCGTCCATATGTCCAAATTCGAGCAACAATACAAAGAGATAATTGAAGACTTACGCCTCAAGGCTTCTTACGGCGATAAAGGCTCGCTCCTTTGGGAAGATAAGAATGAAGGACACTTCCTTCATGCTATAAAGGAGGGGCCTTGATCATTCATTCATCATGGAAGAAAGCATCAATGCTCAGCGAAGACAACCACGAAGCCTCGATTATTTCTCTTATCTTCCACCCACTCCACCAACTCTCCACCCACACACATACACATGAATGCATGATCTCAAAGCTCTCTGAGAATCATCCACGAATAATAGTAATCTTGCACACCACTAGACTAACCATTCCACCTTTGTAAATTAGAGAATAAAACAGGCCTGTGATCATCCCAGCTTGTAAGGTAATCCCTAAGGTTTGTGCTAAGTGCTTGGGGTTTCTCACAAACGAAAGCCATATGTAACTTGCTTTGTGGAAATGAATTAAGCTTTCTGTTTGAATCCCTAGCCTTCCTTTACATCTCGTTCATATGGGCGATGTCTCTATGCTAGGGACCCTAGAGGAGAAACCTCTGCGTGTGTTGTTCTCGTGTTAGCCACAGTAGCGGCGTTTGTAGAGAACCCCAGCATGCTAGCACAAACCTTAGTGTTACCCCTTAGGTGGATAATCACAGGGGAGGCGATTATTCTCTAATGTGTTAAGGTGGGGATAGCAAGGGTGTGATTACTATTAGTCTGATTCTCGAGAGCTTAGTGATGTATCATGTGTATGAGTGTGGGTGGAGAGTTGGTGGAGCATAAATGGTGGACCGGCTGAACTTTTGGTCTCGAGGCTTCGTGAAGATCTTAGAAATAATCCGCATAAGCATATTCACTAAGCACGATGATTAATGCAATCATGGCGACATATCAATATTTATATTCACTAATTGGCGCTTGCTCATCATTCATAAAATATTTGACATTAAAGCGACACTTGCCTTGAATAGTAAAGTGGTTGAGCCACTCCCGGTGAAGTGCTAACGATTATTTGTTCATATCAATTTGAATAGTAGCCTAATTTGAATAGTAAATCTAAATTTGAATAGTCTTGTGAATAGTAACTCGAGAATTTTAAATTTTTTGAGTTCGAGTTAATCGCTAGTTTGATAGTATCCTTTTCCTGCCTTCAAGCGATGTTCTTTGGTATTCTTGGTATGGTCTTCCACGCCTCAATGATTGATGTTGCAAACATCGATCAAAGATCATGGCATGTAATATGTATATGTATTGTAATATATATTATCTCTTCCCCCAAATTGTTGATGACACCTTATCAACATAGGGAGTATATTTCTTGTATATATATATTGATATTGATACTGAGTCTCTATATGGACTCTTCAATATTTTCTTCGTTGTCCACTTCTTCAGGTTGCCATATTTCATACCAGGACAACAATTCACGATATTCTTTTCGTAATTGACATTCTTTGCCATAACTAGGCTTTATTAGCCTACCAACTTCTCTCTCAGATTATACTATATCTTCCATAGTATTCTCGTAAGAATACTTTTATTATCTTATTTTGGTACATCATATAATATTCAGGAGCAAACTTGGTATTTCCTTCTAATTCTTTTGCTTCTCTGAAAATTCTCCAATTATCATGATTCGTGTCTTTTATGAATATCTCTTCAAAATTTTGCCATGAATCTGGAGTCCATGTGGTAGGAAATTTGTATGATCCCTTCGTGATATATATATCATGGCATGCTGGTCTTATTGGTACATGTAAACTTTGGTGGATTAGAACAAAACTTAATTTTGTATTTCCCTTGAATACATGCTAATTTTTTACAAGCTTCTTTGATAGCTATTCCAAGGTCTGATTGAAGTATTTCTTCAAGTGTACCATATATATCATAGACTAACCCATGATCAATAATAGTTTGTAAAGAGATATCATCTCCAGTGTTTCTTTGTATACTTGAAATATTTTAAATTTATATCAGCCCTCAATATTAAGAATCTTTGATGAGGCTTAACAATTAATTTATCATCGAGATGAAGTAAAGGAAAAGTATTTGCATTCACAATTATTCCTAGATGTCTTTCTTTGCCTTGGTATAATTTCATAAAGTATTTTTGTATATCATGAAAGGTTTTGTAATGCCTTTCAGCATATTTCTTCCAAATTAGATCTATAATATCAAGAGTAAAGTATGACAAAGTTTGTTCAGTCTTAAAACTTAATCTAGGTATGAGAAACTCTTGTGGAATATTATTTAAATATTTGTTTCTTTTTTCCTCTAAAATTACTTCTTTTTCTGATTGCACTTTATTTTCTTCATATATTATTTTAGCTTCTGAGTTCCTTTTCATATCGCTTTTCTGTTTTAAACATGACATGCATGCTTGTCTTAAGCATAGCCTACATGTTGCTCTTTTTGCTGGATCTTGGTAATATATGCAAAATACACAATTTATATTATAATCACCTTTTTTATGATCCCACTTGTGCTCGCAATTTATTTGATCCATCATTTCTATTTTTAATCCTGCTAACTCATCAATTAAATCTAACTCTTCATCACTTGATTCTTTTTTCATCATATTCTATTTCATCTGTCTCTATAATTGAATAAATCGATTCATCGTCCATTATATCATCATCACAGACTAAAATATTTTCATTCACACTATCTATTATTTGAACCTTTTCTTGTTCTTCTTGCTTATTGGAATACCTTTTCTTGTCTTTGTTAGGACATGTTTTGCTTAAGTGATCTGGCGAATTACAAATAAAGCATCTACATGTACTATCATAATTTTTTCTAGGATTATATCTTCTCAC